GAGGACCCAGCCACTCTATTCTTCACAGGGAGCCCACCCTTTAGGAATTTATTGTATGTTTTTTTCTTTTGCTACTTAATTTCACAGCCTTAGTCCCCATAAAAAAAACAAAACAAAGAACAAATTGATTTGAAATTTAACTTTACTGCAAGATTAATAAAAATTAAATAAAAGGGTATTGAGAGGGACATGCAACTTGTTGCGCTCCATTGTGATTTCAGCTTTACATAAACACATATCTACTTTAAGTTCAAAAAAACACCACTGCAGCACAGCATTTATTCAGCATTGTAGTTGTGCAGCTAATTGCTCTGATAAAATGGCACGTAGAGAAGGTCAAGCACAATGGCAAAGCTTGTTAGAGCAACCTCGGGAGCAATTTCAGTTGTAGTGTCTCTCATGCTGCTTCTGAATTTCATTACTGGACATTTGTATGAGGTTAAGTGCAAGAATGTATAAATCAAGATTGATGTACAGTGCTTAAAGTTTTATCTGTCTCCATTAAAAAGTCCTGCATGGCTGCTGTCCCAAACTAGAGTAGATTTAAGAAAAACTGATAAGAATATAAATCTAATAAAAATAAAATTCCTTTTCAGTTTTATAAATAATAGCTTTGAAGGCAAATGTGTTTGTGAAGCTTTTGGCAATATTCTCTCAAACGAGTCTTTATTCTGTGGCTGCAGCAAGAAAACATACATAAAAAACTAGGAAGTTAGACTTGGTTCTTAGGGAGATTTTTTTAGAAAAAGCTAAGAAATGCATATTCAGCCACAGACTTCAGTTTCCAAAGGAACAGTTCACGTACACTGCCGCTGAGCAGATGTATCGGTACAGCTTGAACATGTGCTGACTCTGTTTTGCTAAAGAATGACTGACACAGCTTTCAAAATCCTTAACAGGCATTAATCAGAATGCTAAGATTACTGTAATTGTGGACACTAAAACCTCTTTAAACAATACAAATCAATCCCAAGTACGCTACATGATTTGACACCATAGATAGGGGCACAACTGTAATACGGCACGAACGCTCTACTGTATCTTGGATACTTGTGCGCAGTTTGTAGCAGATACCAATTGCACTTAATTAACAGGGAAGAACATGTAGTTAGAAATGGAAAATAGTGCTGCTCACTAGCCCTGTGTAAGAACTGTAAATTAGACACAAAATACAAGAATGACACTATGTTGTGTTGGCTTCAGATTAATCTGACCTGACCATAACAACCAGGGCCTCCCGTGAAGCGTTAGATCTCTGGCCACCCCCTTTCGTTCCCCTGACTTCTTCAGGTTGATTATCGAGTATTCTGCCACACAGTGTGCTCTCCCCAGCAGACCAATATCAAATCCATTTCCCTTGAAAAGATTAAATGCAATGATTCTGTGAATTTTAAAATCCAATTTTGCCTCTTGTCATGGAGTAGCCAAGTTTGGCCTCGTTGTTGATGAAGGACATCAATCCCAGGTATGTCTCGATGAGAAGAGGACGCTCCAGCACTAGCACGCCATTAGCCATTCCTGGCAACGGACACTCCTTATGGGCTTTCTTCACAGCTTGAATTAGCTGAGTTTTGAAGTTTTCCAACTGAAAGAAAAAAAAAAATCGCCTTGATGTTTTTCCATTGTTTTGAAAATTGTTATGCAAGCAGCTGCTGATGTTGAATTGTGAAGGGTTAGCACTAAAGCTGTAGTGGTTATGGATGTTGTGCTGTCATAAACTTTACATTCTGACATTTAACCTTAATGATACAGTTAACTTCATCCCAGGACACTATTTATGTGTAACTTAAACACATGGGCTAGATGTGTAAAGATTTATCAGTGACTAATATTGTTTATTTCTGTCTGTAGTTCTGCCCTTATCACCGATGCGTTGAACTTACCACTGTGTTCTGTTTTTAAGGAGGAAAGCAACTATTGAAAGAAAAACTGAGAACCACCTAAGGGAAGGTTTACAGTCAGCAATTAAACTGTTTAGTTAGCTGGCAGTCCTAGATGAAAAGTCAGGCATTGGCCTGTCAGGTAAGCAAGAGCAGGAATAGCACCAAGATCCATTTTCTTTGGGGTTTTGCGGGACTCTGCATTTTAGGAGGTTTCAGCTTCCTTCTTGTATAAACCATTTATGGGAAAAACTGAGAGTTGTGCTGCCCTGCAAGTCAAATTTTGGAGAATGGGGAAATGTAGCTTCCAGCTCTAAGTTCTGTCTCTTTGATTTAACTGCTTCTACTTGTTTTAACTGCTCTATCATTTGAAAATAATCTAACCTATGAGATCAACAAGTCATCTAGAATAGGAGAGGTGATGTCCTTACAAGACAAAGGGATGCAATCTTCTCATCGGCATCTGCCATGGGGTGTTCGGTGAAGGTGACGTACGGGATGTTTGTGGACCATGGGTTCCATCTGTTTATGAAGGAGGCACGACTTTGCTTGTCCCACTGAATTCGAATACCGATACCTTCTCGCCTGGTATTTGAGACAGCAGAATTAATATGGTAAAACTTTTGAGTCTTTGAGGCAAGCTTAATTAGAAATGTTCCGTCTCAAAAAGACCTACTTAAGACTGGAAGCTGAAATGTAAGTTGGATAGTAAGTTTTTCCTCTAGAACAGTAGAAAACATGACAGTATTACCATGTGAACTTACCTGTTCAGAGATTTAGGTGGGAACTCAAACTCGCCTACAGAGATGGTATCGACCGCGCTGAGGGCTATCCTCGTCACGTGCTGGCACTGCAGGCTGATGAAGTTGTATTTGCAGATCAGGAGGGACCAATCCGTGATGAGAACGAGACGTTCCTTCTCATTGTTCCAGTGATCAATTCTGGTAAGATACCACCACTGAGCTTTAGCAGTTTTGATTACTGGCTAGCAACACTTCACAGCTTCGTTTAGTAATGCTCTGTTTTCCATTATGGCCTTTGCTGTGAATCAGCGAGTCTGGTAAGAGGCTGAATGTCACAACGTGGTCATGTTACAACATAGGAAAATGTTAAGAAAATCAGAGTAAGTCTGAAGATCTTGAGAAAGAGAGAGAGTGCACTAGTGCTGTCTCCTGTTGTTTGAGAACAAATCACGGAATCACAGGGGTAGGGGTTGGAGGGACCTCTGGAGATCATCTAGTCCAAATGCTACTTAATGGGGCAGATGAGTCTCCAACACCTCTCCTAGTGAGTGTTTAATACTGTGCTGTTAGTGTGTTGCCATATTTGCTAAATTATTAACTGCATTGGTGCATGTTCAGGGGAGAGAAATAGTTTTATTTAACTATGTGGTCTGACTTAGTATTTTCCTCCATAAGTGCAGTCTGTACGTTGAAAAACTTGTCAGTTTCTTCAAATTTCATAAATAAAAGATCCTCCTTTCCCTGACTGTTTTGCCACACTTCATTGTTGAACCATCACAGCTATAATACTATTTCATCATTAGGGCAATCCCAGAGGAGATCATATTTTCACTCTAAGGGTAATGAGCTCAGCTTTTAAACTAGCACCTTTAAAATCTGCTACAGCTTATTTTTAGCTGTACTGCTTGAATTGCCTTTCCTTACAAAAATTAAAAATTGTCTATTGTTTCAACAGGAACACCGACGTAAAGCTGATGAGACCAAAGGTGTCCTTGTTGTGTACAGGTAAGTGCAAACAGCAGCACCAGGCAATGGACTGGAGTGTTTCTACCTCCGCCTCTCCCTGCCCACGCCCTTTGTGCCAGGGTGAAAGGACCAAAACCAGCCCTGCCTTCTGCTCACCCCAAGGAACACTCAGGGCTTGCAAATCTGGCCAAGCATTTGTCCCAAAGAAGCAGGCATGCTTGGCTCATGTTTTGCTCCTGTCCCCCAGACCAGATACACTGCAAATTGTCAGATTCCATTTCGTTCACTGGTGCATTATAGGGTCTAACGGCCTGTGACTGTGCACAGGCACAGCTTCTGATTCAGTAGTTTTAAAGCTACGTTCGTGGGTTTGGTGTACGAGTGGATTCTGTATTTTACTGCATTTTGTAATGAGTTAACCTGGAGCTTTCAGTTAAATCCTTTGGTGGGTTGGATTATACAGAAATAGGGATGTGATAACAGCCAACTGGGGCTGCTTCACGGTGTCTCTGTCCACTTTGCAAACATTAACATTGATCATAGAATCACAGAATGGTTTGGGTTGAAGGGACCTTTGAAGACCATCCAGTCCAACCCTCTGCAGAGCAGGGACATCTTCAACCACATCAGGTTGCTCAGGTCCAACCTGACCTTGGATGTTTCCGGGGATGGGGCTTCTACCACCTCTCTGGGCAGTCTGGGCCAGGGTTTCACCACCCTTGTTGTAAACAATTTATTCCTTGTATCTAGTCTGAATCTATCCTAATACCGTTTAAAACCATTTCCCCTTGTCCTGTTGCTTACAGGCCCTGCTAAAAAGTCTGTCCCCATCTTATAGAGCCCTTCAAGTACTGAAAGGTGCAATAAGGTCTCCCTGGAGCCCTCCCTTCTCCAGGCTGGACAGCCCCAGCTCTCAGCCTGGCCCCACAGCAGAGCTGTCCCAGCCCTTGGACCATTTGCGTGGCCTCCAGCAGCTCCATCTCCTTCTCTTACCGCCTTTAATATAAAAACGTGCAAGTTGTGACCTCGCAGGAGCTGGTCCAGGCTCTGCCCCCC